AGCATGATCATGCAGATTCACTGTTGCTTAAATTTTCTGCTTCCTTATGGTTAAAGACATCTTCACAAACTTCAAGAAAAGTAAATAACCTCAGTGATTTGGGCCCAATCTGCAACTCCAGTGGGCTTACTCACCTCTATGCTGTCACACTTGAGGAACATGTGTCCAAATTTCTGCTGAAATAGCAAAACAGGACTAAATTTATAGAAACTTCTACAAAAATATTAATAACCATCTATGGGCCTGAAAAAATGTAAAAATTGTTCAGTCTTGCTGAAGTAGAAGACAAGGAATTAAAGTACTCTTTGGAGTTAAAGTCAAGACTATCAGAAAGCAAAGATATTGAATGCAACTTATGTTTCATGCTTAGCAGACTAGCAGTCATACAAATTTTGTCTAAATGGATCTCATAGGTACATTTTTGTGCCTATAAACTTAATCCAGAGTATTGCAAACACTTCTCATTAGTTTTCTTTTTTAGAAGAGTTAGTATATTATCCAGCCTTCTTATTCTGACATGAAATTGAAGATGTAGTGCCTTTGACTGAATGTTAAATATTTGTGTTCGATAATAGGTAGTTAAGCAGGAAGAGAAAGAGCATGCTTCCTCTGTGCTTCCAAAGATCTATTAATAGATAAAAACTATCATTTAATGGTAACATATAAAGAAGATTTTGGAGATTAATATGCTGCGACTGGAAGTGATTAATTTCGTGATGAATTCTCACATTCTACATAGAGCAAGACAGTACTTAAGAAATCAAATTCTGTTCTTCTGTGTACTGTGTTATATAAGTAAAGTCACTTTACATGGATCTGAAATTAACTGTAATACAATGAGACTATCTGGATGCTATCCCAAAAAAGCATTTTGTATATATTTTCCTTTTCTTTTCCTCTGTTGTGAATTAATAATGTGTTTATGGGGCCATGTCTTGAAGAATGCTTTTCTATTTATTTCTATTATGTAGGTGTTTATAAGTTGTGCCTTTTATCTGTTGATACCACTTACTTCTTCCCCTGTAGTATGATTTTGGTACAAAAATATCTCTTTAGTTTACTGTCCCCATTCTGAACCCTTTAGCTTTTCCCATGTGTCTGGTTACCTATAACCGACAGGCTGTTGCAAAGAATTAGATATTCTCTAGTTAACTGGCCTTTGCAAAGAAGGTTCTTGAAGAAAACCAACAAACTGAACTACTGCACGTTTTCTTAGCTTGAAATTCCTAATAAACAAATATGAGGCAAATATTCATAGATTAAAGATCAAATACTTCAAGTCTTTTGACAGTAATTGAGCGTATTTTCAAGAGAGGTTCAATTTGGACAGAGAGTAATTTTTTTTCTTTCCATTTCATCGCTGTCTGTCTCAAATAGTAAATATTTCATACTACTGACTGGCACTTCACAGTTGGTACAAGTAAGTGTACAACAGTCAGAACTCATTTAAAGACCTCCAGCTGCAATTTTATTAATAAATACCATTCCATAAATAAAGTTAATGTTTACTCCCTGGCTTTATATCCATGGAAGCAATATTCACACGCACATCATCAGAACTGCAATAGCTGAGACTATAAGTCTCCCATCTGTCCTAGTCCCAAAAGAAGGATCAGATGCTCTTGATTAAGATACCTCTATAATAAGTCTCAGAATAGCTGTTGATGTCATTAACATCTGTCTAGTCATTGGAACACCTCTTTAATTTTGAACTCTGAGCTGAGGCTTGCAGACTGTACTTTCAAAGGAATTAGCATGCTTGGAAAAGTATCTGAACAGCTAACCTACACAGGTGCTTTCAGAAATCACATTGATGAGAGTTAGATGACTAAATGTTTTGGCAAATCTGCACCTATCCTCATCATACCAAAATGCCTTTCGAAAGTCTTGGGACTTAGGCATCTTTACTAACTTAATCAAGAAAATACACAAAACAAACCCAGGAAAAACCATGCTTGAGTACAACAATATAGTGTCCGGAAGAGTTTTTGCCTTTTCTATATGAAATATATCGTGTACTTACAATGAACAAACAGCAAACCTTGGAGTTCAGAGCACAACAAGTTTGTTATTCAAAGTAAATATTTTTCTTCCCACAAAACTCTGATCATTCAAAATACTGAGAGTTCTCTGAAGAATAAAGTTGCTATGTCCTTTTTTTTCTGTTTTCAGACAGTAGGAGTAAGAAGTAGCTCATTCACAGTCTAATGCTTGATCAGATGAAGTGGGTGGTAAGATTCTTTTCTGTTCAGATGTTAAGTGGGTGAACATCCCAACATAGCCTTCATTCACAAATTATTATTGCAACATATGAAATTCAGTGACATTGTTTTCAATTGATACTTACGTAAATAAGGTAAGAAGGAATTAATTCACACTGGTCAAATATCACCAAATGTCACTGCCCAAGAAACCTGTTTGTTTTCTTAACTGATCACTAAAAGCTCAAAACACATCTTTGATTCTGTTTAGGTTCACTGCATAACCTTTTTTTTCAGATCCTGTTAGTCTTCTTGACACTAACTCTTAATTTTTGGAATTTTTATAAATATTAATCCCTCAAGTGAAACATATCAGCTTTAGGTGTAGGAAAACTGACACTTGTGGCATGGCAGGTTGGACTGTTATTGGAAGCCAGTTTCTAAGTTATCTGGAAAGACTGTTGACCAATTCCTCTTATTTTAAATGATAAAGGAACACAATAGAAAAATTAGTATTTTTAGGACTGGATTAAGAACGGTGGGAGAACAGATTACCTGTTTCATGAGGAAACATGTCACTTAGCAGCCAAACAGGCTTCACCTTGGTGATATGCCATCTCAGGACATGACTGGTTTGACTGTATTTAAGAATAAGTGTTTGGTGCTCTGTTGTGTATTTATTAGCCTGAGAATTAAATCCTGAAGTTAGGTATTTGCTATGTCAAAGAAATTGTTTCCTTTTACAAATCTGAGTTTTTTCAGAGATACTGCGGATTAGGCACTTTGAATAACACCTATGTGTTTTCACAACCTAACAGATTCTTAACTTAAAAGAAATACATTTCTGAATCTAAAGTATTCAGCAGCCTTTCCTTTCACTTCAGAGACATGACCTCCCCCTAAAGTCAAAGAATTCTTGCAGAATATAATATATTCTTTCTCATGTCCTCCTTTATAGGTATTGATAGTAAACCACACTTAAAACATTTCAACAAATCTGACAGTATCAGTCACTGCTCTTAAAGGTGAGCTGTGGAAGGTTTTTACAGTGTTTAGATTATTCCATTAGGTTCAAAAGGAGCAAATTAACAATTTACATTAAGGTCACTTTTTAGGTGACTTCAAAGCCTAACTAACGTAAACACAGGCAGAAATACTTTTGTGCATTCTGAGCCCTTGCTTAGATCTGGTCATTTTTTGTTTTCTTATTTGCTTTCTTGCTTGGTTTTTTGGGGTTTTTTAGGGTTTTTTTTTGGCAGGGGAACTACATGTAGTAAGCTGTATGGTCATTGATGAAATTTTTACTTGGGTGTTCATATTCCCAATAATATATTTGAAAAATATTGATCTGAGATCAGTTTCAGGTATTCATTATTTGTATAGTCACAGTGCTTAAGAATAGTTTCTTCCTTTGTCCCCCTAAAGTGAAATGTCCTTCCTGGAACTAATCAATCATTTCCTATTTGGACAGTTAAGATTCAGCATTTCTAGTTATTGCAGGACTAAGCCCAAGATCTTTACACATTGATATGGTAGACTTCAGCCTCCTAATAAAATCTGTTGTTATTATTAAACCTTACAACCCTTCACACTTGTAACCACTGTAACTGTTTTTATGAACAGAACCTTTGAATACTTACGTGAACATTGCCTGTATAGTTTTAATGCTAGCCGAGCATATGCATCCACACTCACAGAAAAATGGGTGAGAAAAATCCAGGAATAGAGCTTTTGAATATTTCCCTCTTCCATGAATGAATATCTTAAGATGTGCACATTAGAAATGTTAGTTTAGATATCACATGTAGCCAAATCCCTTGTGAATAAAGTACCAGTCCTCAAAACAGTCTGATTAAGCTTTCATCCCTTGTTTTGAATATTTTAGAATTCTGCAGTGGAATATTGAAATTCTACATATGTTGTTTGTGATGCAACAGTTTCAAGGATTCAGATGGAGGAAAACTGAAGTTAATGTTCATAACCTACCCTGGTTATTATTATCTAATTACTATTTCCTGAGTCCTACTTTTCCAAAAATAAATAATAAAACCCCACAAACCCTTAGACAATTTATAATATTTAGTATAATGTTTTATGCAGTCTTGAAAACAATGAATTTAAGTGCTTTGTATTATGCAGTTTTTATTTTAATTAGTTCTTTAATGTCATTAAAATCTGCAAAGTGATTCAAGCCTGAAAGTATGTTTCAAGAACTACAAAGGTATGTATTTGGAAAAGGTGACCTGTAGTAAAAATATTGAATTCTGCATAATTTTAGACTTTAATTTATGGGATCATTTAAACATTTAATTATGAAAATTACAATTACAAATGCTCTCTTATATGATCTGAAATGAAATTCTTTACTGAAATGGTGGTGCGGCACTGGAACTGGTTGCCCAGAGAAGTTGTGGCTGTCTCATCCCTGGAATTGTTCAAGACCAAGCTGGATGGGGCTTTAACAACCTGCTCTAGTGGCAAGTGTCTCTGACACTTCTAGTGGGAGAGTTGAAACTAGATGATCTTTGTCTTCCAACTCAAACTATTCTATGATAATAAGACCTGTAAGAAAATTCAGAAATATTAGATATATTTAATAAGAGGGAAAAACGAAACTGCAGAAGTCCATTTATATTTTCATTGTTAATTGTTCTTTTCAGTTACGTATAGGTGTTGCAAAGTTGTAATTGTTTCAGACTATTCCTATCAACAAATGTAAATATGTGTATAAAGAAAACCATGGTATTTGACAATGGCTGTGACTACCAGTAACATCAAATGCTTCTGAATCTTTTTTAGATCTCTATCCTGAGACAAAACAACAGGATGTGCCTTGGAGAAGAGTAAGTTAAAAAATTCTTTGTTCTTGATACTTTTTTAGTTATAGTAATAACAACTGGATACTGTACATTGAATTTCAATGAAATGAATTCTTTATCCATTCCTTTTTCAAATACTAACCCCCTCCTACTGTACCATTTATTCAGACCTGATTTCAGCAGGATTACTTCTTTTGAATACATTGAATTTAAACATTAACACTCTTAGTAAATTACTATAAAATATTTAAGCGGCAATAGAGAAACATCCTAGATGATTTTGTTGCTTCCAGTAACTTGGCTGTAGAAAAGAAACCTGACAGAAGATGAGGTATCCTTTATTTAAGCCCGAAATGTCTCTGTAGTGCTTGGAAAGTTGCTTTTTATTGTTAAAAAAAATTAGATAGGGCTAATACACAATTTATGTCTCTCTCACATAGAGCTTTAAAATTGAAACATTTTTCTTGTCCAATTTTTGTATTGTTTTGCTTTGTCCCAATAACAACATGTTCAAATGCCAGCGACTCAACGACACAGCTTGAGTAAAAAGAACAGTATCTGTTAACTGCCTGATATTGAGTGAATGAGTAGCAGCAAAGCCTTTGCTAAATCAAGACCTGTCCTGCTGTTATGCAACAGCAAAATTAGTGCAATGTAAGTAATATTGATTCCCAAGTGGTACAATGCTACATTACAATGCTGGCTGCTAATCCTTATTTCTATTTCTTAAAGATACTGTAAAGTGTGTTTGAGTGGAAAAAATACAGTTACTATAATCCTGTGGTTATAAAAGAAAATATGAGCACACCAGGAATTTTGCCTTTGGTTTGGTGAGTTTAGGAATTGGAAATTTAGACCGAAGACTAACCCCAGTCCCTAAAGAAATACAACTTATCTATCCAGGAAAATGAGTCTTGTTTCACTGCACACACAAAAGGAAGATGCAATGGGTCGAAGGTATGAAATACTGAGAGTAGATCATCTGTGCTGGCTCCTGGGAGAATCTTTCATTTTTCCTTTTCCCAAATTTAAAAGCAGTCTCCTAAAGCCAGTGAAATCACTTGAGGTATATCTTCAATTCATTTCAATTGTCACAGTTCCGTTCCATTCAGCACAGTTGTATTAATTTTCATCACCTCACTGCTTGAACATAAATCTTTATTACCTCAATTAATGAGTTTCATTTTTCCTTTCCTTTGATGTGTTTTGTGGGAATATACTATACTTTCAGTCACATTTGCAGGGCACTCTAAGAGACATTTGGTGTAAAACCTTCAGTACTGGAGCTTTGCTGCTTTCAGGCCTACTGAGAAATTGATACCGTACTCAATCAGAGAATGTCTTTTTGTTTTGGAGCTGTTCCTTACTACAAAGCGCTGTATCCTGATAATCTGTCAAGATCACTGGATGGTCAGAGATAAAGTCTTAATGGGAGGAAGCAAGCCAAGAAGGGAAAATGCTGTTTTCTTATCTTAAAGTTGTTAAGTTGTAATCACGAGATCATAAGCAAAGTCTGGACAACACATTTAAATGTCAAAAGGAAAACTAACATTTTCCTAAATTAAGATATTTTCAGACAGATTACTCTATGGATGTAGTTCATACAGTTGCAAGCAATATTAGCAAGACAATTCTAGGAAATTAGGAGGAAAAAGGGATATTGAACAGAAAAATGTGAGTGTTGCGTCCTCAAACCAATATTTTGTTTCAAAATACAGTAAAATAACTTAGGCCTTACTATATTTGACCCATTCTAGATATGTACTACAAAGTCCAAACATTAACCTAATCCTGACAAGTCCACCACTAAACTATATCCCTAAGCATCTTGTTTACTGATATTAGCAAGTGAAAACAGGTTCACTAATTTGCAGATTGCTATTTCATGACAGCAGAGGTGTCACTAGCACAAACATGTTTTTCACACCAAATTGAAATTACAGAATTAAGCTAACATTATGTCAACAGAAGTAGCTTGATAATTTTTGCACAATTGTAGCTCATCAGATTAATCCTGGACTGCACTCAAATGCAAAGCACTTTAACAAAATAAAAAATGGTTTTTAATTCAATCTTTATAAAGTCTTTAATTTTAGCTAGGGTGATTAAAAACCCCCCAGATTTAGAATATCAGAGAACAGGATGCTGAACTTCCTTTCAAAAAACAAACCACGTCTTTTTCTGGAGAAATAAAAATGAGAGAACTGAAATTTATTTTTGAACTGATTCTGTTCTGTCCAGTCAAATCACAAAAGTTTAGCATCTCCTTTGAAGATTTCTTGACCAACCTGACTAACGTAAAACTCCATTAAAATTTGACTAACACATAATCTATGTCTGAAAAAATTCTAAGTTAAAGAGCCTGGAAGCAGGTACATTTTCAAAATAATTTGTTTTACCATTTTAAATGGCTTCAGGTTTCAAGATTTGTAGACACTGAGCATTTTCTAAATGTTGCTATGCTCAGAAGCTTATTATAATGATAAAATATGTTCCTTCTAAAAAAAAAAATCAATGTATATCTCTAAAAATATTAGGAGTAAAACATTCCTAGAAATGTAATATGTACTAAAAGACTTTTCAACTTTATTATTCTTTTAATATAATCAAAGCATTTTCCAAAGCTAATTAAAAAATGTTGCATCAGTAAACACCTTCACCCATTTCTTTATTTCTGAATTGCCAGCAGGAGAGTTTAGCTGTAAGGGAGAATAATTATGTTCTTTATTTGCAAGTAAAAGGTAAAGCTGTTATTGCAATTATTATTATGCAATAATGTAGCGAAAAAATAAATTAAAACAAATATATATGATAACATTTTATAATGTAGGTAATCATTTAAAGATTTTTTTTATATTTATATCTCTATGGCATACTACTCATTCCAAGGAAATATAATAAAAATAATTTTGTAGAGATGACTTTCAGATTGAGAATTTTGAAAAGTCTTGTAGTTAAAATAAACTTGAAGAAAAAGAATTAGAAAAGAAATGAAGGAAACAAACTAGAAATAGGTCTATTATCAAAAAGATGGTCCATTTGAAAATGAAATTAGAAGTGCTAAAGTATTTCCAATCTTGACACAAACATATGAAAAGGTGATTTTTCAAAGTGAACTGTTGTAACCAAATCTGCATTTCTCATAAAAAATGTTGACCAGACACCTATTACAATTAATTATAATTATTATAGTTGCTATTAATTAAATTATACAACATTAGTAGTTGTGTAATCATGCTTTAGAACTCGTATCTTAACAAGCTAAAAAATTGCACTCCTTAGGTTTTTAAGTGCTTTAACATATATATATATATATGAATATTTCATTGTAATTATGAAGTGAGACCATGCCGTTCATATAATTTCCAGCAAAATTCTTTCAATCTTCTACTTCAAGTGCTCTCTTCTGATATGAGGTCCAGTGTTTGTACTTCCAAGCAATGAATGGAGCAAATTTTGGTGATCTCTGAGACTGTAGAGATAAATATTTTTCAGTTTTGTGTCTGCCTCTGCATGCAGCAGATTTTCTAGTGTTCTGTTAATTCTGATTTCTTTCATTATTTTATATATAAAATGTTCCTTAATTAAATAGAATTTACTGAAATTTCTAAACCTTTCTATTTCTATTTATTTTTGCCAAAATAGTAGAAAGATGTTAGTGATATTTGTAAATAAAAATGAAATATATGAGAGAATTTCAGTCCAAAATGTGCTAAAAACTGAGTAAAATACATCTAAATCCCACCTAAATATTACAGGAAATAAAAATTACATGGATATATACTGAGGACAATTTTATGGTCTCATAAAATGACTATGCAGCATATGACTTAAATTAGAAGGGTCAAAAAAAAGCAGGTGAAAAAAACACCAGTCCACTTCAATGCTTTTGCCTATAAATCACTTATCTTTCTCCTTGAGCATTTAAAAGTGACTAAGAAACTCAAAACTCTAGTCCTTTATTTCTTTTTAGGAAGGTCCTGAAAAACTAGCAAGGCTTTCCTTTTACTTACTTCAATGCCTGTTTATTTTAATGGCAAAAGACTATGGTTTGTTAGTCTTTTAAAGACAAATTACAAAGACCCATGGGGTCTCATCAGATAACCTCATGGGGTTTTTTACATCAAATAGCAGAAAACAACTAAAACAAAATATAAAGTAATCAGGCCACTTGCATTTTTCTTAAAAGAAGAAGTAAACCTCCCAAAGGGAAGATCCAACAGATACAAACAACCCAGGTATCTAGAGCAGAAATGAGTAGTATTTTCTGCTGCAGGATGGGAACCTCCCTTTCTGAAAAGCAAGTCTTTCAGTGTATTAACTAACAGGGATAAGTACCTAAATACTTTGTAATGTATGTCAGGCAACTCAGATCAAGGTTTTAACATTGTGGTACTTTTCCGAAATCCACGTGTTTAGAGGCCTATAGACAGTTACCATTATCCTAGGACATAAGGTTTTGTAACTGCAATATAAACTACATATCTCCTACATAGCTTCCTTTTATATATATGATCTGCTGATCTCCACATAAAAATCCCAGTTAGATGACCTTTTCAAAATGATCAATTCACCAATTCCTTCATATTATCAGGAAAGATGTATGAGAAAGGGAGGAGTGAAACTAGCTCAAGAATATCTAATAAAACTTACGTGTCAAGTGCAGTCAAGTGCAGTATACACATCAATGTTTCAGCTGTAAAGACATCTTTTGAGTAAAAGTCTTATGGTTCTTTCTCAGAGAGCTGTTTTTGCTTTTAGTCCTTACAACATATTCACTTTGTAAAAATAATAAAAAATTGTACATTCAGATTTGAGCATTTTCTGGTTTGGTACTTAAAGCATTATAAGCTTGTGTACTAGATTAGTCTCAATTTTTACAGTTATGATGCCTTCACCGAGTTTCTGCTAATTGTCTGACCATTTAATTTAATACATTGAAGAGATTTGATAATGTGATGGCAGTACTATGTAATTCTGTGTAGATCAAGGTTGGTACTGAAGGTGAGTTTCTGAATTAACAA